TCCACTCCAGTAACACCCACTGCTCCCGCACTGCCAGTCAATCCCATTGTTCCCGTACTGCCTGTCAAGCCCTGTTGTCCCGTACTGCCGGAAACACCATCCACTCCCGTAACACCCACTGCTCCCGCACTGCCAGTCAATCCCTGTTTTCCCGTACTGCCAGTCAAGCCCTGTTGTCCCGTACTGCCGGAAATACCATCTGCTCCCGTACTACCGGCGATACCATCTGCTCCTTTACTGCCGGCGACACCATCAGCTCCCGTAATACCCACTGCTCTCGCACTGCCAGTCAATCCCTGTGTTCCCGTACTGCCAGTCAAGCCCTGTTGTCCCGTACTGCCGGCTATACCATCTGCTCCCGTACTACCGGCGATACCATCTGCTCCTGTACTGCCGTCGACACCATCCGCTCCCGTAACGCCAGTCACACCCACTGCTCCCGCACTGCCAGTCAATCCCTGTGTTCCCGTACTGCCACTCAAGCCGATTGGTCCTCTCGGGCCGATTGGTCCTCTCGGGCCGCGTGGCCCTTGCCCCGGTACTAGTGATAATACAATATCAAAGTCAACGACTAGACACGAATCAGAATACAAATATTTAACAGTATGTGATGGCTCCTAATATCTCTGAAACAGGAATTAAAAAAGCATTACGGTATACCATATTTCAGGTATTTCTATGAAATGACCCAGGAACAATTCCCCACGGGCAATGCCAAACCTCGGGGTTTATCCTAGTAGCATGAGTGAGTTCATCTCTTCATACACACCGATTGTATATATAGATGAAGGGTAGGGATTTCAACTTTGTCCATGTTACATTTATGACCAAGGGATTAAGCCCCTACTGTTTGGTTTTGACTCCCGGGCCGATCCTGGTGAAGCACAAGTGCTTTTTCCTCTGTATGCCTATGGTTATACAGTGGGGTCGTATTTATACCATCACAGTAGTTTCCGTGTTACGACTCAGGAAGTAAATACCAAGCGTTAAGACCCAAGGGTCACTCCTAATGGCGTGAGTGTATTTGCCTCTTTGTATAATGTACCCAGTAATTGTATTAGAGGGAAATATCAAACATGTGGTCCCCCGAGGTGTAAAACTATTTAACTGTATAATAAGGTTAAAGGGAGGGGATCCCGACCATTTCTAAGCATTTTGAAATGTACTGAAGGAGTAAGTTTTTCAAGTTTCAACCTTTTGTATTTTTTGCCCTAAATTGGAAAAAGTTGTCGACGGACGGAAAACGCATGCCGCGCCATGGTATACGCACACTTGGCTCTTTGGGTCAAGTAAGCTTATGCTCAAGTTAAATATTGTAATGGTTTTGTTTGTTATTGTATCACTATGGGTCTGTTCATACTGTATTTTTCAAGTTTAATATTATATTCGCTGATCAAATTTTATTTTGTATTCGTTGATCAAATTTAATACAATCTAATTAAAATCATATCTTCACATCGCTCCCGTTTACTGATATGTCGCGTTGAAGATCTAACAACATCCCGTAGAGGGTCATGTTCAGGCGACCTTTGCATTAACCAATCAGATGAGAGCTTACGCATTTCTGTAAGTGATGATGTAATGATTTCGGAACACACTTGCTTTTCTAAAAGACCGAGAGGTGTCAAATGAGCATTGAAAATGGCGGCGCCCATGACACCACGCCGTGTCTATCTTCAAGACAACGTTTGTATAATTTGTGGATTTTGCTTTGAAATAAGTGGAGACTTCCTCTTCTGGTGATGTTGTCGTTAAAAAGTTTAACAACCTGAAACTACAATTAACCAATGACAGGCTCCGCAATATTCAAACTATCACTGGACCAGACGAAAATATGGATTTTGGGCTACGAGGTGTCTGAATTAAATGCTACAGGTCCTGCTTTCTGATTGGTTGAAAGAAAGAGTTACGTCGCGTTTTGATTGGCTTGTTATATATACGATAATGCGTTCATGTTGACCTCTGATGTGACCCTCTACGGGATGTTGTTAGATCTTCAACGCGACATATCAGTAAACGGGAGCGATGTGAAGATATAGTTTTAATTAGATTCAATTTAATATTGTATTCTCTGATCAGTTTTGATATTGTATTCTCTGATCAAGTTAAATATTGTATACTCTGATAAAGTTTGATTTTTCATTGTATATTCGAATAAAGTTTAATAATGTATGTTCTGATTAAGTTAAATATTGTATATTTTTGGTCTTGTTAAGTATACGCTCTTTTGATGCATACCATTACACTCTCCTTGGTCTCTATACGTTATCATCTGATTGATACCCGTTCTAAACATATATCGCTATGAGAGTGTCAGTAGTCACTATGGGGCATGTTCTCTTTGTCATCCAGGATGGTAGACTTGACCTCAGAGAAATCGCTACCGTTGCATCCATTCAGTTGGGGTTTTGTTGAGAAGTCTTAAAGGCGTTGTTTTAAGATGTTTTAAAACAAAACAGAAATGACATCATCTGTTCATCAGAACATCCATTTATGATGACTCTTTGAATAACAAGCCAATCGGATTGATATGTCGCCTCTATGCCCCGCTTTGATCATCGATGCACATATCAGAGAAACTAAGTTAAACACAAAATCTTAAAGGGGCATCACGGTGAAGTTTTTTCTTTTTTTTCAAATGCTAACTAAACATATCAAGTGAGACTCCTTATGAAAAATAACGATCGGATTTGGCTGAAATAGATGTATAAAAATGATTAAATCTAAGAAAATCATCGGTATTTCTGTAGCAGGAGCAAGTCCTGGCTTTGTTTACCCAGGTTCATTGAGCCTGGGGTTCCAGGGTTTCCATTACAAACAACTCACATAGTGTATAACATTTAATAGATTTATTACATAGAGCATATAACATACATACACAGACGACACAAGCTATTCAACCCCTACCCGGCTACTACTGGGACATGTACGGGAAAGGTGTAAACAAACACACTACATGACGGTATAAACACAGCGGGCAGCTAGCAAGGCTTTCCCCGGACAGTACAGAAACACACAAACACCCACCTAGCACCACGGACCGGTCAGAAGATAATGACAGCACAACACATGACAAGAGACAGAGAAAGACGGAGATACCCAGCCGAAGCTATTGGTACAGCTCCACAAGTTCCCATGTGTGGGTATGTTATGTAGACCACGGTAGCCAATCAGAACGGTTTTACCACAGAGTAGGGGTCATCCAATGAAAACACCGGTTACTAAAATAAGGAAGGAAGTTAGAAAGAGTAAAAGCCCGGATAACAACACAGAGTCCCAATAGCAGCGGTAACACATACGTCGAACACCCACGGTAGATATATATGCGATAACTTTCTTATACCCCTTTCATTCAGGCTTTCATCCAGACACTTTCACCAACACAATCCTTATATATATAATCACTCATACCCATTCGCAACCACCTGGCCAGGTTTCATAATACTCTCGACTTTCACACACCTCCCTTTCCAATAAGAAAATAGTTATACTATTTTCTAATTCTTGTACTATTCGCCTTTAGTAAAGATCTAGCAAAACTATATATACCGTAAATATTTCTCGACAACGGTAACGTCCTTATATATATAATTACAATAAATCCAACAATAATAACAATATTCAATATAACAATAACAGTAAAGCCATATATAAAATAAAATTAACTTAGTCCATAGACATTGACTTTGTTCCGATTACAGTCAATGGAACAGGTCATCAAACATGACTAATAAGGAGGCGTCATCCCCCTCCCAGCATCCCTCAACTGAGCATCTTTCTGCAGGTGCACTCTTCACAGGTATGCTCATCCCCTCCGAGGGCACATGCCGTTTATTGAGGGTTCGGCAGGCAGACCCCGAAACCCCCATCAGCCTACTGGCTTCCTGCATCCCCAACCCATGTTGCCGTCGGATATGGCGGACCACCTGGTTCCGCCTCACATGGTGGAATCCACACCTGGGACACCCCAGTAACTCAACTGTCCTGGCATGGACTTCCGCCCAATGCTGGAGCATGGCACTATAAGTTTTATATAATCTTGTCCCACAGGATGACACAGGACAAGACATACCCTCCGCTACCCACACCGGCCTCAAATCCCGGTTTACCGATGCCAAATCCTGCAGGGAGGTATTGATTTCCAGAATATCCATTTCTACAATACAAACATGAAATCAGGCTTTTAGCCTTCTAAAAGTACACAACAGAATTACCTCTTTTTT